AGTGAAGCTGGAGGCATCACAATTTTGCACTTCAACTTACAGTACAAAGTTGTAGTGATCAAAACAGTATGGTACTGGCACAGAATCAGACACACAGATCAACAGAATAGAAAGGGTACTAAAGCCAATTAGGTAGAAATCAGTAAGTCAAAAGACTTTTTTTTAAAAAACTATATTCAGGTCAAGAAAAAGTTGTTACCTGCCTAGAATACTCAGAGTTCAGGAAAGCAAGCTTTGCAGTTATTCACATGATAACAGATTTCTGGCAATAGGGTTTGAATATAAAATATAAAGAAAAACTGTTGGAGAAATTTCCAGGATAGTCCAACTACTTATATTTTTCACTCCAAGAAATTTCATTTCTATTTCTTAGATTTCTTCCCAATCTCTCCTCTCAATTCTTTCCTTTTATTGCCCTACTAGTGATTTTCAGCTAGGGGTGTTCATCCAAATTAACCCATTATGTTTAGAAAACACTAACTCTTGGGCCTATATCCCAAACACTCCTGATTCAGAAGCTCTTTTTTGCTCAGACTTTTGCAGTTAATGAACCATTAGACTGGACCACTCCTTCCCCAGCTGTTTGCCTACGTCTCTTCCTCACATAATTTCTGTATCTCTGGCCACATAATATCCTTGTTCTTCCTAAGCCCCTATCCTAAACATTCCCCACACTGCCTCATCTCTTCTTGACAACGTCTCTTTACTCTTCTTTATTTTTCTTCTCAATAGTTATTACTACCTAAACTTACCTATTTATTTCTCCTTTGACTATCACCTGTCTCCTCTTTTAAGCTCCAAGAGGGCAGAGAATTTTCTATTGCGTTTTTTGGGAAAATTTCTAAGCCTACAACGGCCTTGTACACAGTAGGCAATGGATGACTATTTGTATAATGAGACACACCCCGTTGCTGAGAACCACTTTCCCAGCAAGTCAGCCATGTTACAAAATAGCAGAACTAAAATTTCTTAACATAACAGATATGATATGAGATCCTAAGACAGGATTAACACATATCACATACATCTTATTTGAAGCATAAAAGGCTTGCCAAGAATCTAGTCATTAGTCACACTGTTTTAGAATATATTCAGATCTGTTTATTCCTTCTTTATAGATGAGACTTGGATACATTTCAAGATCTACAAAAAAGAAGGAGTTAAAAATAAAAGAAGACGGAAGGCAGCTGACTATTCCCTCCTTCACAGATTCAGAGAACCCAGGGGGGTGGGTAGAGGATACCCACTCTCCCTCTTAGAAAGTTATAGCAAAATCACCTCGGGGCCTGTTCAGACTTGTTCACTTGACCCTTAAACTTCTGAGAGAAGTGCTAATTTCGTGAGCTGCCTTTCCAGTGTCCAAACTCCCAGATTCATATAGCATATCACTTCAGAACTTTACCAAACTCATATACATGACCGTTACTATCATTAGGCAATATGGCCCTGGGATAAATGAAATACATTTGTGTCAAAAAGTGGCCAGTTGGGGCGCCTGGGTGGCTCAGTGGGTTAAGTCTCTGCCTTCTGCTCAGGTCATGATCTCAGGGTCCTGGGATCGAGCCCCACATGGGGCTCTCTGCTCGGCGGGGAGCCTGCTTCCTTCTCTCTCTCTCTGCCTGCCTCACTGCCTGTTTGTGATCTCTCTCTCCGTCAAATAAATAAATAAAATCTTTGGGAAAAAAAAAAAAGGTGGCCAATTCACACAGCTAATTTAAAATAGCAGATAAATGAGGGGAGGTTTGAGGGGATGGGCAAAGTAGGTGAAGGGGATTGAGAGGGACAAACCCTTAGTTATAAAACAAATAAGTCACAGGATGGACAGCATAGGGGAAAAGTAAATAAAGTAGCAGATAAATTTAAAAAATGTTTAATATCGGGCACCTGGGTGTCTCAGTCCATTAAATGTCTGCCTTCGGTTCAGGTCATGATCTCAGGGTCCTTGGCTTGAACCCCATGTGGGACTCCTTGCTCAGCGGGGAGTCTGCTTGTCCCTAGCCCTCAGCCCCTCCCCCATCATGCTCTCTCTCTCAGCCTCTGTTCCTCTCTCTCAAATAAATTAATAAAATCTTTAAAGAAAGAGTTTAACATTACTCCTGACATATAACAATTATGTTTTAAGTGTTGTTATTGGACTATTATTACTGTCTCCCCTAAACCCCTGCCTACATCAATTATTTCAGATACAACAAACTTCTTAAGTTTTAGGATTTTCTCTACTATAGCTCCATTCTGTGATGCACTATTAACTTTAGAATAATTTCTAGTATTTGAGATGAAGACTTAGTCTATTATCTAACTCTTTTTAATGGACTTAAAAATAAAACAGCCCTTTTGAGTATTATTAAACCTGAAGTGTGGCATTTCATTTATTCTTTGACACTCTTCAGATCAGAATTACTGTCTGGCGAATACACTTTATCCATTTCTACTTTCTTGTCAAAAGAGTCTACTTAGAAATCTTTTACATTTTCCACCCTTCAAAAGACAAAAGCAAACAGCAAACAACACAACAAGAGAAAAACAAAGCCCTAAAGACCCAGTTTAACTCCCACCTTCATGAATTACAGAACTAAGGAACATCTTATGGAGCCTTTGATTTTATAAACAGATTTTATAAACATTTCAGAAATGAAATCCCTTTGTCGAAGGCCTCAGAGCCAACAGGCAGCAGAACGAGAAAGAAAACCCTCGCCTCCCAAGTCCCAGTTTGATACCCTCAACACTCGACAACTTGGATGAGTGTTGTCATAGCCGCTTCTCCGAAGTCCTACAGCATTTACAGAACAGCACCTGTCCCGCAAACCTTAAAATAGCATGACTAAATTATAAGTTCCGTGAGGACAAGGACTGTATCAGATGTCTGCTGCCTGATGCCAAGAGCCGTCCGTAGTCCTGAGCACCAGGAAGGAGCCTAGGATGTCTGCAGGGATTGGCCGCCCTCCCTAGTCCTCCCTAGGAGGACGCAGAAGCCCAGGGGCACAGTGAATGATGTGAGTGGGAGGGGCATCTCCCTCAGGATTTGGAAGTAAATTCCATGTGGAAAGCTAAGATAGGATTATTTCCTTCTGTGTGTACACACAGCACAGTGACTTGTGTTTACCCATTTATTACCCATTAAATCCTCTCAACATGCCTAGGAAAATTAGTCCTATTAGTTTTCTCTTTGGAAAGATGGAGAGACTGAAGCAGGCTCAGAGAGGAGAAACAGCATGCCCAGAGTTTCTCCACTAGCAAGTCAGACAAAAAATTAATAGCAGTAGTCAAAGAAATTCATGTAATTCACAAATAATGAGTCTCTACACACGTCTATTGTCAAAGCCAGTAATGGGTAGTTTGTGTGATATTTAGTCTTCATACCAGGAAGCGGTGCCAATGGGCAAAGAGAAATAATTTCTGTACTCCCTTTCCATCTCACAGACACGTGACAGGGATATGCATAATCTTATAAACTGGCATCTCAATAAACAAAACTATATTTAACACATAGGCTTAAATATTAGTATAAATAAAATGATTAATAAAATCAAGTCTTCTTCATTATAATTATTTGAAACCTAATCTTAAGCATGGAAAGAAGGTGGTAAACAATATAGATACCTGAAGAAATTAACTTAAAAATCAAAAGCTGAAAAAGAGAGAATAGGCTGAGGTAATAAATTTGCTAGATCAAAAAAAGAAGTATTTTATAATTCTAAGAGGTAAAATATATAAAACAGAGTGCACTATCATCTCAATTATCTTTTAGAAGTACGTGGTTTAGATATTTCTCCTCAGTTGATCTCTGCCAGTTCACAGGGGAAAAGAGAACCCCAGTTCTAGGATGCAGACCGTATTTCCCCTGCGTATGATTAAGGCTCATAAAGGAGAAAGGAAGGAAAAACGCAGTGCTCCACTGTGCCCCAGCCTGACTGCGCTCCGTATGTATATTCCTTCAATCGTATGATGTTGAAAGACACCACTCTGATTCAAAAACCCTGGCAACAGGCATCCACACAGTTATCAGGCCTAAATCATTCTTCATCATCTCGGGAAACGGAATGATGCTATTTCATCCTTCGTGGTCCATATCGGGGCAGGTGGATAAAGTCACAAGAGTTTTGATTATCCCCAGAACACAATGAAAATCCTAAGTCCTGCTATAGGTCCATCTTATTACGACTTTTTCAACCTATGATTTTCCCCTTGATGACAATGGAGAACTAGCTGATCACCCAAAGAAAATTCTGTTTCATGCTTCCTTCTTTTTTCCATTCTTATCTGTTGAATACATAGATCAATATTTGAGTTTAATGCACTTAGGTGCACATTTGGGGTGTGGGCTCCAGCCGTGGGAGTCCTCCCATAGGCTTGCAGAAGACACGAACACAACAAGAGAAGTGAATTAGAAGATCAAAAAGCCTCAGAGAGGAGGCGCTACTCACAATGTTCATCAGGGTGAGGAGGTAGTTCTGGACGTGCTCTTTGCCGTGGAAGCGGACCACGGAGTCGTCCACCCCCAGCAGCACCTCGATGTTATAATCGTTCTCTCCCGTGTGTCTGCGGTGCCTCGCTGCGTCCTTCAGCTGCTGGTCAATGCTGCTGGAAATAGTACCTACATCGTCAAGGCCTCCCAGATTCGACTCTATTAAGAAACAAAAGGAACTCAGGCATTTCAGCTTCCCCAATCGACCTTCTGACAACTCTTGACAAAAAAAGAAGCTTCTAGGGGTCCAACATTATATTATATTCCATAGTCCATATTATTTTCCATAGTCACTGAGATATGTTGTTTTTCTGTTTATTCTTCAAATACTGTACACATGTGTCTGATCAGACAGACCTCCTCTACATTTAGCACGGAATAGCAACGCTAATGGTAACGTAGTATTACTGGACAGAAAGCAGCACCATCAGGCCAGATGGGATGTTCAATGAGTCTGAGAATGTGTACTTTCACCCTCCTATGGCTACATCCTCAGTGCAGAACAAAGAGAGTGGATACAGACAGAACAGCTACTAAGTAGTTATTAAATAAATGGAGATTATAAATTAAAGAACCATGTGTTGAAAAGTTTACAGTTGTTAAGTTGCTATAATCCTGAGGGGACAGAATTTGTATCACATAAATTTAAATCACTCCTCTTGCCAGTAACCTTAACTTAAAAACCAACTTAGAGCATGGCAACACGAGAGTATCTAGTTGTATAATTAAGAGTCATGATACAGGACTTCATTTCTTATGAATCTGGTTTTCTAGTGAATGCTGCTAGGGAGCCACTGTAGGTCTCCACAGTTGTTCTGGCCATCATCTAGTTAGCACATCACTGTCATAGCTATACCTGGGAATCCGTGAGACACCAAAGTAAGAAGTCGGTCAGAAAATACATCCAAGGGGAAAATAAAAGAAGAAACAATTTTTTTTTCATTTTATACAGTTGAAGGAATTTAATTTTACTTTCCCAATGGACAACACACACATACACACAGACTCACAATACAAATATCCATATCTATCCATCTATCCATCTGTCTATCTATTGAGATAGAGAGTGAGAGAGGCATTCTCAGGTTCTAATTATCTTGATTATCTGCTTTCATATTTCCATATTTTTGGAAGAAAAATGTTTTTTGTGAAATGAAAAATAAAATTTATCACTTGGACGCTAAAATAAAAGATATTATTCAAAACTGCTGGTATAAAACTGAAAGTGGATTCATTTCCATTTCAAATATATGTAAGCTGAAAAGGATTTTATTTTACAAACTGCCTTGATGCCTGTAACACCCCCCATATCTAAAAACAAGTTTGACAGAACCCGTTCTGACTCATGCTTTTGTATGGGAGGCTTACTTAATGCTGCCCTGGGGCCCGTAAATCCTTTTAATCGGTGTCTGACATTAACAAATGGCATTTTCCTCCCCATCTTTGCAGTTTTAACAAAGTTGAAGGGGGGAAAAGGTGTCTCTTGCCCAGGAAGATTGATGGGCATGCCCTAGACACATGGGATTAGAAGTAGTAGAAGTACAGATCTTACTTACACCCGTTTTGCTATTAAAAAACACACAGAAACCCCAGCAGCCTCCCCTGCAAGGACAGACATAAGCTCCGAATAGGACTCCTTGGGTGTGAAAGCTATCCTGTAATTCGCTTTGACCCAAGCCCAAATGCTAGATCTTTAGCTGGGAAATTTCTTCTCATCGGGGGATCACACTGACGCCACGATACATAAATATCCCTTACCGCCATCCACATCAAACAGAAAGTTTTCCTAAAAAGTTGTTTTTAAGAGCTGCAACCCACAATGAGGGCAAGAGACTACACCTGCAGACAGCTTTACCTCACTCGACCTCCAGCCTTTTCACACTCTTGGGAAAGTGAAAGGATGTGATAGTTCATGTACACACAGGAAACTCATACATGAGCTCCCAGTTCTAAAAACGGCTCTTTTCGGCAGAACTGCCAGTGACCGTGTCCAATGCAAATATACTAAGCGATGTCATCATATCATTAAGTCTGATGCATGAATGGAGAAGACTGAGTACTTATTTCGGAAAGACAGTTCCATTCAGCTCTAACACACCTTTGGTTTGGCCTTTGAATCCCTCCTTAAATAGGTGGTTTTCTGGTTAAGAGAAGAAAATCTCTTTTTTCATTGCATGAGGAACCTAGAAAGGAAGAAGAAAGCCTTTTTCCTTCAACCATTGCCCTGATTCAATCGAACATACTTCTGTCCTTACAGTGCCCTTTCTATGATTCCTAAAGTGGGCAGTTGTCAAACATTGCAAAGAAAGACAGTGAAGGAATTTCTGGCACTTTTTATCCATATGATTCAGTAGGCATTAAAGACAATTCTTAGGCTGTAAAATACCTTCATTCATAACGAATTTTTCCCAGTATGCCCACCTTGTCATGGGCTTTGTAGTCAGACATACCTGGTTTCAAATCCTGGCAGTGGCCATCATAGCAATGTGATTTTATTTTATAAATCAGAAATTTTACTTTTTTTTAATAGACATAGGAAAAAAAAATCTGGAATTAGTGAAGGGACATCTAAACTGCTAATAACTTTAGAAAGAACGAGGACTAACAATATTTCCTGCAGACCATAAAGTAGGTACAAGGAGAAAAGAATATAGAATATTCACTTCAGGTAACTTAAGATGAAATCCAATGAGACAAGCTTGTTTCATAGATTAAAACCCTAATATGAAATTGGAAAGAGTTAGCTAATAGATGGCACTGATCTTCACTTAATGTATAATTATTCAGTACCCATACATGTCACAGACCCTGAAAAGGTAAAGAACCACTTGGTACCTCTTTGGATGTTAGAACCACACAGTTGTACTGGATTTATATTCAGAATGGAGCTGAATTCGTATCACGTAGTCACAAACCATTATGTAGGCTTGAAAGACTTAGACTCTTTCTAGCTTAAGCAGATCTCATCGGGGACTAGAAACATGACTTCCCAACAGCTCACACCTTTATAAAAAGCTTCAAAGTTTAAAAGCTGACACCAGCTTTGACAACATTTAAGATGCCTCTATGTCTAATTCTGTGTTATTTCTGTGCCCCATTTAATATAGGAACAGGAATAATTAAAGGTGAGTATCGTGCTAATCATGTCCAAACACCTGTCCACCAGGTCTGTTTACTGCTAAGAGGACTGAAAGAGATCACAGAGAAGGCAATAGGCAAGATCAAGAAGCAAAAACAGAGTGAAATTTTCCATCTGGAGTAGCAAACCAGAACCGTGGGGGCACTCTGTTGGCATCCGCTTAAGTACGTGCATTCAAGGTGACTTGAATGGCTGTAGCTGAGTTGGACAGCAGAGAGTGACTGATGTGATAACAGAATCAGTGGGAAGACTGGGCATCTTAGAGATAAGTAAATAAACAAGGCCCTACTGTAGGTGCAGTGCGCGTCATTCCAGAAAAGTGATGCTCAGAATACCTTTCAAGCTTCCCAGAAATATCAAAGGCAATCCACCTTAGAAATGAGAGTGAGTTTCCTTTTTTTTAAACTTTTTTGAAACTGAACCTTTTGAGTTACTGATAAGAATTAATTACCGTTTGGAAACATTTTGATTGTACCCATTTTTGTCCCCGCTAGCTTCCCAATGGTTGTATATGAGTTTTCAGAAAAAGAGTAATTTTGCTACGAAGCCCATTTTTATTGAAGATATAATAGGGGCACACTGGTGACCAACTAAGTCACAATAAATATAGTTACTTTTAGTGTTAAAGACAGGATGGTACCTAGTATTAAATAAGAATTTTGAACTGACCAGACAGATAAAGTAGAATACAATGCGTTTTGCTGCTTATAAACACTTGGGCTTCAGACATGATCAGGATGGAGCACCACATGTTTACATTACTTAATCATATTTACAGGAAGTATAAGTATAGATTGATGAAATCACTCCCACCCCAGAAGAAATTCTATAGTCTGAAAAATGATAGGAGACAAAGGCAAAGTTAGAAAAGTACAAGTTTTTATCAAGTTCTGAATCTGATACAAATACATTTGGGGTAGGAAAGCAACCTCAAACGTACTGTGATAGAGACCATGACAGACCCATCTATCCTCTATCCATTCTCTCTTCCCTAAGGAGTAGAATGTTAATTTTTCTTGAGGTGGTCATAAACTCAGCTGAAAGTCATTTTGCAGTCTCTCTTGGGACTAAGCACCTCACGTGACTAAGGATAATTCAATGACGTACGAGAAGTATTGCTTGTACTCCAGTGGCTTCAATGGGCTGATATGAAAGGCTTCCGTCAAGGCTCATCAAAGGAGTGTGATTTCTCTTAGTAGGTTAGACCCTGTGATCCTTTATTCAGTATTCCTTCCTGCTTCCTGGACATGGACATGACGTCAGGAGTTCTATGAGTAACCTTAGAATCAAGACATGTGCTTAGGATGATAGGGGAGCTCTAAAGGAGAGATCTGACCCCCCTGCAGTGCCTAGCACCAGACTTTGTTACACACGGGGGATAGCACTCCCATCATGTTTAGGCCAAGTTTGGGTTTTCTTTTATATGTCACTGAATCTAGCCCTAATAGATAGGACAGTGACAATAATTTTGTTGTATAAATTCCTCATGCTCTCCTGCTTCATTTGGGAATGCAAGTTAATTTTCATGTGGACAAGTGAATGATAAAGTAAGGTTCAGTTTACCAAAATGTCCCAGTTTTCTTCGTGGTACAACAACTTCAGAAAAGGAGGAAGGAAATTTTTACAGTAACCAAAAACATAGGATGAGTCTATTTGTATAAATTTAACATTCTTCACAACCAGAATATGGTTGTGAAAATGAGGTGACCGGGATTCCACAAGCTGGATTTTCCAATAGTAGGTGGAGATCCCAAGATCAGAGCTAAAAATAGGCATAAAATTCAACAAATGTCATATGTTAACATCGGAAACAGAGAGGAGTTAAATTGTGTTGACCTGTTAAATCATCCAATAGTGATTTTTCCACTAACATCTTTTTAAAAAAATTTATATTTTTATAATTCCTAAAAAGATACACTAATAACACCTCTATATATGGGGGCATCATGCCATCAAGATATAAAAGATTTCTGTGAAAAACAGCTGAATCCTTCACCAACTGGGAAATTCCGTAATGATA